GCGGCAGCCGCCGAGCTGGCGGCGGCAGACCCCGAAGGCCTCACCCTCCGCAGCTCTGGCGGCGCGTCCGCCGCGTCGGCGTCTCTGGGCATGCCCAAGCAGTCGCCCGAGACGCTGCTCGAGAGGCTGGGGTTCCCGCGGAAGCGCCAGTTCCAGAAAGTGGAGTCGCTCAGCGGCGGCGAGCGGCGGCGGCTGCACCTCGCGGCGGTGCGTCGCGTGGCGCCGGGGGCCAGGGCGGGGCAGGGCAGGGCACGAGCGTGTCTGAAGGGCACACCCTCCCCCCTTGCGTTCGCGCCGCGGCCCCCGCCTTCCAGGCCTGCCGAGGCGCCTGCCAAGGCGCCTGCCGAGGCGCCGCGTACGCGGCACAGCGCCGCGCCGGCCCAGCCCCTCTCACACCTGTGGTGGCGTCGTTGCAGACGCGACGATAAATGAGTTTCAAACCCTCTGGCGGCGTTCCCCAGCTGCCTTGATATCGGTGCCCCCTTGTCAAAACACATGTCTGGACTGCAACCCACTTTTTCAGGGGACACCCCCACGCCTGTGCGCTTGCCGTTGCTGATCAGACAATATGACTGCAACGACCCGTCAACCCGTTGGAAACCTGTGATTTAGGTATTGTCGTCCTGCCCCAACGTGCTAATCTTGGACGAGCCGACGAACGATCTGTCGCTCGAAGTTGTCGAGGTCCTCGAGGAGATGCTGCAGGTGAGATCTGGCGCGGTATACCTTGCTTCAACCGTCAGCCGCGCCCCCTCGACGGCCCTTCGTGCGATGTGCGGGCGCCGTCCGGCGATGGTTTCCCGAGTGTGTCGATAAAAGCCAGCGCGCCCGGCCGGCAGCAGCGCCCCCGGCTCCTTCTGGCCGGGGCCCCTCGAATCACTGCCAGCCGCCCCTGCGCGCGTCCCCTGTGCCTTCCGCGCGTCCCCGCATGTTTCGAGCCGTCGCGCCGTCCTCGCGCTGCACGGCAGGCCCCGGCCCTGCTCAACCGCCCCACCTAACATGCTGTACCCTTGCGCTTTTGGTGCACCATCCTCCCCCAACAAACCCGGAGGCGTACCGCGGCGTACTGCTGGTGGTGTCGCACGACCGCGCCTTCATGGACGCCACGACAGACCGGCTGCTGGTGCTCAAGGGGGACGGCCTGGTGGGTTTGTGTGTGTGTATGTGTGTTTGTGCGTGTGTGTGTGTGTATATGTGTGTGTGCATGTGTGTGTGCGTGTGTATGCATGTGTGTTTGTGCGTGTATGTATGTGTGTTTGAGTGTCTGGAGGGAGAGGGGTGCAGCGCGGCTCGGGGTGCACTCCTGGCGACCGCCCGGGGGCGCCCCGGGGTGCGCCGAGCCCGGGGCAAGGCCTTAGCGCGGCGGGGCAATGGTGTCGCGCCCGCCCCACAAGCTGAAGGACCCCACCGCGCGACCAGCGAGCGGGCCGCGTCCCCAAAGCACAGGTGGCGCATGAGGCGCTGTAAAGCGATGCTACCCCATCGTCGCGCCAAGCTGACGTCTGACGCAAAGCCCCTCGCTGCTGCCCCTCGCTGCGGGTGATCAAAACCCCTTAGGTGCGCCTCTTTGATGCTTCCTATACCGATTATCTTGAGCTTTTGGAAAGCGACCGCAAGGCTGCCGAGGCGGCGG